ATCCTGGTGTCTGAAGAGTTTTTTACTAAATCCTCCCTGAAGTAGTAGTGTAAAGAATCAAAACTGAGGCATTGAAATGTAGGTGACTTTTTTCATGTAGACCACCATATTAATTTATTTAAAATAAAATTTAAAAAAAATTAAAATCTCAGTTCTCTTTGAAATTAAAATGGTGTTTGTCCATAATGGGTACTCTCCCGTGCTGGAGTTAGGAGTGTTGGTGTTTTTGTGTGGATCACACCTTGGGAGCCTTCGGGTTGTGCTGGTGCTTTCACCACGCCAGCTCCGCTAGCGTTGTTGCTAGTGGTAATTTCTTCTGCATAGTATTTAGGTATTTTTATTTTAAAGTGCTGTGACAATTATTAAAGCTCCTTGGACCTCTTGCTAAATAGGGTGGTGTACAGATTTAAAGAAAAGTTACCTAGGTTGTTTTTGATTAAAGCCTGGGCAGGCTGTGGTGTTTGCAGAGTGGAAGTTGGAGGCTGCCCGAGTCTGTCGGGCGCTAACACCTTTACACCGTAGAGGTGGGAGAGGGCTCTTACTTCCAGAAACCCCTCCGTGATCTTTATAACGTTAATATAAGAACAAGGTGTTTAGTAACATATTGTAGCTTTTGTGCAAGTCATCTGCCATAAACCATGGCATGATTCAGAACAGGGTTCATAGTTCCTTCTTTGTTCCTTTGTTAATCACTGACTGGTGGGAGGCGCCTGCAGAATTTGCTAATGCATTCTTTTTGGGTAAGGATGACGCACAGATTGTCCTAATAAGGACTTAGTTTGAGAAAGGGGCCGTCTTCTCTGAGAAGATAGGGGCAAGTCATAGGGCGAGCAGTTTCTTTTTTAACTGAGGGATGACACAAGCACAAGTCATTTCCTTATTAATCGGTTCAAACCAGTTCTTACAGGAACTGCTGGTGATAAATGTGGGACTTCTGAGAAGTCATTCATTTGATTCTCAGCACTGCACCAGTGCACAGCCTCAGCTGGCTTCTCCCTGGCTCTAAGGAAATGCTCCAGCTCACAGCTTCTTTCTGTGTTACCACCAGTGTATTGTCACTGGTCTGCTCTGAAATACTTTTCTTTTGAAGCATTTTTTGAGGATCTGGGGAAATATGTTCCTTGCAGAAGTATCAGATATAAAAATGAAATACACTTTATTTTGTGGTTATCTGTTTTCTCGAGTAGCAATGCCCTTCTGAGCTGTAGCTCAGTCTGAACTTTGTTCTGTTTGGGTCAAAGTGGTAAGTTTAAAAAAAATGTTTTTTGTTTTTGTTTTTTTCCTCCCCTGTTTTGCCTTGTTCTCTGGGATGAACTTTGCATCAGTGCTATTCCAAGTATAGGTCCTTCTCTTCAGAAGCCATTTCAAGAATATTTGGAAGCTCAGAGGATAAAACTTCACCACAAATCAGACAGTGGCATGCCACAGGTAAGAACTTCTCTGCCTCCCTCCCCAGTTGATTTTTCCCCTCTCTAGCTGTCTTTTGACTTGTCAGGTTTACCAGTGTAACTCTTGATTGTGTTTTTCAATGATTTGCAGTGGCCCAGGGCATAGATAAAAATCTCATTTTAAAAGCAGCCTGGGAATTAAAAATAATACTGTAATTGTATGCAACCGGACTTCTTGGAGAATAAAGTAAGGCCAGTGGCACGTCTTCCCTCTATATTAGCATGACTATTTTGAAAGAGAAATCTAAGCAGAAAAAAAAATCCATTTACATGTGAAATGGTAACAGTGTGCAGCATCAATACTTCAGAAGCCAGTGGGATCTGTGGCTTAATGGCCCATAAGAGAAACAAAATCCCCATGCCTTCAGTGATCAAAAGGAAAAGAAAAAGAAAAATACGGTGTTTAGAGTCGGTACAGAGGGGCAGAAGTGTCCTTTCATACAAAATAAGTATTTTAAAAAATATATCCTGAATTTTCAGTAGGGACAGAGCAACTTTGACATGGAATTCCTTAGGATACTATGGTATTTTTACATAAAATCCATTAATCTAACTCACATTTCACATCTGATACTTGCAGCTCTTATAAATGTTTCTTTGCCCATTTCTGACCACAAAAGAGACTAAACTAGGGAGGGTCAGGCTGGAATAACTAAATATGCAGATTCCTTTTATGCACATTGAAGTAGTTTTTGTGCAGTGCATTGCTGCCCTCCTTTGACAAAAAAAATACAAGTTAAGAGTAGCCGTGGAAAACGCTGGAAGTGGGACTGCGAGGTCATCGCATTAACTTCTAGTGACACCAGAAGAATCGGATACTAATTGGGAGATAACACAGTATATGCAGTTTAGAAAAAAAAAAAAACATTGTTAACCAATGACCTTATTGTTTTCTTTGCAACGAACGTGACAGGGAATGACAGTCAGGGGTTGCTAATTCTGAACTCTATGAATTGTTAGCAAAGATGAAACAATACTAGGAATAATAAATCACTTCACTAGCACACTAGTAATGATCAAGGATTCACCATCTGCCCTGCAGTGTAGCTGGCAAGCCCTCCTGCATTGTCTTTCAAGGGACTAAAGTCAGCTTTACAGAGAGACCTGCAGGAATCTTGTCAGCTTGCACTTGGTTCCTGTTTTTAATTTGATAAATTACATAACAAAAAGTGGCTAGGCTCTTCCCTTTCACCCAGAAAATGGAGAATTCTCCATTGTGCTGTCCACTAACCTTCATTTTCCTCCTTCTGTTTTGTCTCTTCAGGGGGAAAACTGGCTATCCTGGATGTTTGAAAAATTGGTGATTGTCATGGTTTGTTACTTTATCTTATCTATAATCAACTCCATGGCCCAAAGCTATGCCAAGCGACTGCAACAGAAGATTTACTCTGAAGAAAAAACCAAATGAGCTTGGAAAAAAAAAAACTTGGAATGGGTTTTTGCAGACACAAAAAATGACACATCTTTCCATATGTTTAAAAATCAGCATTATTCAAAATGGGGGAAAACTTTTTAACATCAATTTTCAAATATAATAAGTTTTTATTTAATTTTGAAAGTAATTTGGATATTAGAGCAGACGTTTCATTGGCAAACTTATAAATGTTAAGGTAAGGTATAAATTCTTTACAAGTCTGAGTTGTATTATACAGGATGGACAATGTGATGTTAAATGGTGTTTAACACAAATGTTGTCCATCCAAATTACTTCCAAAACTGATGATTTAATACTCTCCATTTCCTGATTTAACTTCAGACTGACCCTACGGGTAACTTTTTCTTTTGAAGGGTGGCTCTTTTACTTTTTCCATAACTTTCGAGACCATCAAAATGTATATAAATGAATACAGGTTGGATACAAACAGTTGCATGTCCCTCATGGTAAGGCTATTCCATCTGAATTCTCCAGAGTCCCATTGCATTGCACGTGCTCTCAGTTGGAAAAGCCGCCCTCTTAAACTTCATGATGTTAGCAGAGATGATTGATGTCAAAGTACTGAAGCTGACATTTTTTATTGTGTATATTTAGAATGAAGTTAAGATAAAACTTTATAAAGTCATCTTTGATCATTCCAGAATTTCTTGTGTCAGTCTTTTTAAGCTGTTTCTTTACCTCTCCACTTTTGTATGCTCAGTTTCTTTAGTTTCTTTATTAAGCCCTAATCCCATGAATCGCATGCTTTCCTCATCCTTCCTGCACAAATGGTGCTGAAGCCCTTTGTTCTTTCTTTTTTTTTTTTTTTCCTTAAGAACTTCTTACTTAGCAGAAGGAAGTAGAAAGCCTATCACTTGCTTGAAGTATGGCTCAATGGTTAAAACAGGCAAGTTAAATAGCTAGCAATATTTATTGTCATAAATTCTTCTCGGATGTTTGCCACTCATCACAGCGCCGTGGGCAATGAAGGAGAAGAGAGGGGGAAGAGTAAAGATTCCAGCTGGAAACAGATTTGATGTCTAACCCAGCAACGATTTAGAGAACCTTAACCTTAGGCTTTTAAAGTCAGATATTTTTAAAACATTGTTATGAATCAGTGCGTGTTCCAGTTTTAATGTACATGAACTTAACTGATATTAAAATGGATCTCTTTCCTCTTTAGTAAGTAGGTAGCCATTCCACTGCTACTGTGTATATATTACTACTCATAATTTTTGAACTATAGTTTTTTATTTTTATCCTAGGGGTAAGTAACAAGAATTCATTTGACTTTCAATTAGCATTATCAGAAGGTAGCATACGAGCACAAAGTAGATTAGATCTTGCTCTTGCTTAGGTCACATTTCTCCCTGCATTGAGTTAGGGCAGATCTGGAGCGAGGTGTGCGAATATGTATTTTGTTCAATCCTGCCTGAATGTCCTCTTGTGTTGCCAACCGTCGTGACATCTCCATGGCTGTACCATCCTGTCGGATAGCTTATCAGACTGATGTTGACTGTTGGATCTCATGGCAACAACAGTCGGTAGGCTGTCTGACATTTTGGTATCTTTCATCTGACCGTTTGCCCATCCATCTCCAACTGTTGTCATTGAACATCAGCAGCATATCAGTGTTTTTAAGTTTGGACGGAAATGAGTTCAGACGTCACGCAGGGCCGCCGTCCACATAAGAAACGTCTTTCGAAGTTTCATCTCAGTTGTGTGTGAGGTTTCTAACGTTTCTCTTGTGTGCTTCAAATAGAACTTTAAACAGTGTTACTGAATGGATGGGGAGGCTTTTAATATGGTCTTCTCTTAATGGACCTGCTGACTAAATAAGATTTAAATATCTAAAAGTCTGAGTGCTGGGAGAGAGTACAAGATAGTTAAAAGCACAAAGGCCATTCATTTGCCCCTGTTGATTTTTAAAAGATGAATGGTATACCTTCAGTCTTGCTCCTAGCAGCTTTTTCATTTTTTGGCCTAAATATGGTCTTTGAAAATAGTGTAGCAAAGAAATAATTCTAATACAATACACATTCAAAAAATCATAGCTCTATTTGATATTTAACTTTTTTCAGTCTACAAAAACTTCAGTTGTGCACTTAGTAAGAGATCACGTCAGCAGTTCATAGCTGTTTGTTTCTTTTTTCTTCAGGATACTTGGATTAGTGAAACAGCTGTTTGCTACTTTCCCTGGGTCTTTTTGTCCTCAAATCTGCCATTCACCTTAGGGACCTCGGATTTACTTCACACAGTTCTGGTAGTGTCTTAAAGCCTTTCATGAGAGTAAATGACATTGATGCCATGTGAGGTCCCTCATGCTGTCAGATGCTGTCAGATTGAAATGAGGAGACTGTAACAGTAACTTAAAAGAAAAACAACCCTTTTCCTAGAGCTTGAGCCAATAAACTCTACCCTTCTGAATGCTTTAGCAGTCTCACAATTATGCCTTCTTGTCTGCTGAAAAATCACGAGACAAATTGAAAGCTTTCTCCCACTTTTACTTCAGTATATGTTTACATGCATACAGTACGAAATATATATATCTATTGTTCTGCAACTCATGTTTATATGTGTCCATTCCAATAAGCTATGCTGTTACTTTGAAGCTTTCTAACACTATTTAAAGAAGGGACTCCTCATTCTGCTTCTACCTGTTGAGCCGCTGGGAGATCATGAGACTTGGTAAAAGGTAAAAAAATAATAGAAATGAAAGTTATGCCAACCTAATGAGATTTGCACATGGATAGTTTTAATGTTTGCTTAAATAAACAAACAAATAACTGTTTCCCGGTGTTTATTTCAGCTGGATTGTTTCCATTTCTGTATATTGAGTTTGGTTATTAGGCTGTGAAATTTGTTATCCCAAGCATTCTGCAGTGAGTGTGAATCAAGAAGATACATCTGCAGTTGCATTTTGTGGCTTCAAAGAAAGACCCAGAGCCTTTAGCATTTCATCTGAAAACGCGTATTTTGCTCCCTTAATCCAAAGTTTCAATTCGTTATACATATTTTCAGTTACATGTTGGAAGCAGTCAATCATCTAGTTTAAAGTGTTAGAGAAAAATCCAAAGTGAGCTCTGTTGCAAGAGAAACAACATCAGCACAGATCACTGTCTTTTTAGTGGATGATTCTTGCAGTTTAGACACTGAATGAAGGATCTTGCTTTGTTCTTGGAATTACTGAAAATCACACAGAAGTAACAAGCCTTGTAACAACTAATGTTTGATTAATCACCAAAGATGACTTTGAGGTGATATTTATTTTTTTTTTAGTCTCATCATCTGTGGAACATGGCTAAATCTCTGCTTTCACGAGGGCACTGTAAATAGGAAGCAGAGCAGAAAGATGGCTGTGTCGCCAGCCTAACAATTCAGAGCAGCAAACCAGAGCTGAGGTCAGGTAGGATTGCAGCTAATCCTCCTCTTGGTTCTCTCTTCACTTGCTGCCTGACCTGTGAATCGTGCCTTGGCTGCAATGTGTTGTGAAGGCGGCGTGAGGGGCAGCCACGATGTACCCCGCCGGGGCCGGGGCGGCGCACGCGTAAGCAAAGCTGAAAAGGTCCCACTGGTCTGTGCCAGGCCCAGCCTAGAGCCACAGGCGGTGTCAGGTCGAGTCGTCCAGTCCCACACTTCCCTCAGACCCATCAGGACACCTCCTGCTCCCTGTCTCTGCTTGTCACACTGTGTTTCTTGTTAAAGTGGCTCCCTCTGAAATCACCCAGCTGCCTGTTCATGCTAAAAGATGCTTGTCATTAATACTCGAAGATGGCTTAATGCTGTTCCAGAAAGTCCTCCCCTGCTGTGCTTTTGGGTTTCGTTATTTAATTTGTCAGAATCAGCTTCCCTCTCACTGCAGGCAGTGCTAATTGCAAGCACAAATACTGTGGATGTTTCCCTGATTATCAAGCACAAATATAAATATTAGTGAACAAAATTGATTGCAGGTGTAAAAGTGGTGATTGGGTGTGTTCCTTGGAGGTAAAAGTAATTCAGTTTTATTTGAAGCACATGGTGAAAAAATACTTTGTAATCAGCAGTCAAAAGGTCAAATGTAATTATATATCAGGTAATTGAAATTGCTCTTCGGAGATTTAAAATTCTAGGGTTTTTACTCTAAATTTGTATTTTTCATTTTTTGGTAGGGAAAAAGAAAAAACAGTAAGCACTTAGCCCAGCATTGTCAGGAGTGCAGCAGCAGTAAGAGGAGTGTGAAAGTGGGAGAGCAATAGCCAGGGAGGGCTCCTGCTGGGCTGGCCCCTGCGCTGAGTGCCTGCTGGCCCAGGTGAGGTTTGATTGCTGGAGCCTGGGTGGGTTGTTGGAACCTCTTCAGGAAACGGGGAGTGAAGCAATCGCCCTCCCCGGGAAACACCCTGCTAACATTCAGACCTAGATGGAGGGTAAATATTTGCATATGCTCTTACAAACTCATTTTTAAAAGGATTATACTGCTCTGACTTTCCTAATTCAGGTGTCTAATTGAGGGCATGAAATGCTAGTGTGAGTTTATTGCTGCATCCACTCAGCTTTCATAAAAGGCAGCAAAATGCTGTCTTGGTAGTGGTGTGAATGGGAGAGGCTCTAGCAACCTGGGTCAGTTGTCAAAAGAGCAAAAGGGGCTCAAATGCATGAACTGTCATCATATGTCCAGAAGCCATCTGGCTACACTGCCTCCCAGGTACAGGCAAATGGGAAGAGCCCAGCAATCTGCGACGGGCTTCTTGGCATGTATCAGGAATTCAGCAAAATGGTATTTTGGTCAAAAAAGCAGACTATTATTCAGTGCTGAATTTCAAGTGAAGAGGCAAAGTCACCCAGCCTATTCACCGCCAGTGATGTTCAGTTGTGGCAAAACAAATGGGAACCTGTGAAATGGGCCAAGCTTAGGTTCAGTTTGTTTTTAACACTGTCCTTTATTGTGCTAAAGAGTGTTTTTTTTTATTATTCATTCACGGAATGATTCAAAGATCATTGACTACATTAGCGTTAAATCAAAGGTCATCTTTCGTTAAACCTCATTTGACGAGCAGTTCAGATATGGATAAGCAAGCATGCTGCATCTTCCGTGTTTCAAGGGAGTTACTGCCAGCTTAATTGTTCTTCTGGTTTCCCAAGAAGCTTAAATGAGTTGCCCGGGCAGCTGGTAATAAGGAAACTAGCTGCTATTTCCTGATGAAAGGCAAGAGATAGGATTTGTCAGCTCAGTGTGTTGTTCCCTGCTCTGATATCTGCCCTGCAAGCCGCGCCCTTCTCCCATGGCCTCAGAAACTGCTTTTCTGTCCTTGTGAAAAGTGCAAGTTGGTGTCTTTTCTCTGGTGACTGCTGTGCTGTTCCTGGTTGAGGGGTCCTGTGAGGGAATGGCCATGTGTTCAGTACCTGTGATTTAAGGCATAATTCATCTGTTTTGGTTTGTTGAGGGTTTTTTTTAATGCTGATGGGAGAGAGCAGACCACACAGGTCTGATTGTGCCTCCTCCTGAGAGGTGGTTGGTTGGAACTTTTTGTTTCCTTGTGGTCTTGGTGGCATGTCATTTGACTGCTTTTTGTTATAGAGAGTGTTGCACTTATCTCACAGATAGCTCAGGTCTAGGCAAATGCCGGGAACCTCACTGAAGTGTTTGTTAGCCTGGTTTTGCACAAGATTGTGACCGCAGCAGTCTGCAGGGAGTCACCTGTTGCCTGACTTGTGTACCAGCTGATCTGTGTGACATTTCTACAGGCGAAAGCCTTTTCCTTGGAAGGTGGCATTGACTTGGTGGAAGGCGTCAGCCAGAGCTCTAAGCTACTCGAGCACAGGCACCACCAGTGCCCCGTGTTCCTGGGGAGGTTCAATTCTGCCTCAAACCATTTGACAAAGTGTAAGAAAGTCTTTAAGAGATTAGATACATTTCCCAAATCTCGTTCTATCTGCATGCAATGACCTTGTGGTACCTCTATTTTTATTCTGTATTGTCAGGAAAGAAACTGGCAGTTCTGTGGCAGAAGCTGCTGCTAACTAAACCACATAAATACTTTGTTTGAGGCTAACACTTACGTGTAGAAACCGTGTGAAATTTAAGGGACTGTGTGTTTTTCCTGAGACTGCAGGTTTCTTAGGCTCTTTCCATCTGTTAAAAAGACTTGAAAAAGCAGATTTGTGTGCGCCACGTTTCTTTTATGCCTCTTGAAGAAACTGGACCTGCATGAAGAGAAAATACACATTTAGATTTACAACATCACACAGATCTAGCCATGTTCACAAAATCTCTGGTATGTTTAGAAACCACGCTTCTCTCGGCCTCTTGTTTGCTGCAGCTGTTTTCTTGAGAGCTGTAATATTTAGGATATTTTCATAACAACAGATTTCATTTCTCTGTTTCCTTGATTTTTGTCTCACCTCAGTTCAGCTGACCTCTTGTGACATACAGTCACATGCAGCCATGTGTATTGCGTAAGACTAGGTGGGGAGCAGCAGGAAGAGAGAAACTTTTAAGATACCTGAACCTGGTGTTTAGTTAAGCCTGAAGTAATGGATGCCAACAAAAAATTTCAAAGCAGTATTTCTATTAGATCTGTGCTAATGCAATTGGTGATTTTAATTCTGTTGCCTCCCTTCTATATAACCCTGTCTTAAACACTTCTGCGTATGCATAACCACCATGTGACAAATCACACTGCAGCATTTGTGCACGAACTAAAATTGTTATGGCTGTCCAGGAGCCTGGTGTTCTTAAGTGAAGTGTGGAAATCTGCTGTGCTATCCTTTGGCAAAACATTTTAGCTGTGGCTGAGAGGATCATTCCAATTCAATGAATACGGAGTGTTTAAGTGGTGTTTGACAAACCTGAGAGTCCTAGCTTAAAACTGTCCCTGATGTCTCTCCTCTCAGTCCTTCCTGTAGCCCTGTCTGTCCTCGGTGCTTAGCGATGGCTGGACAAGTTTGGGCCTGTTCACTGGAGTTTTGTGCACCATGTGTCCTAAAGCCAGTTCAGGTTTCCTTTATAATGTAATTGAAGAATAAGCTCTCCTTTCACGGCATGCGTTAGGTTTGTATCTGTTTTTTATAGAAGAATATTTCACTGTGAAAAGACTGGCTTTGTGAAGAAGCCTGACTAAATCTTTATAGAGGAAAATAATGTGAAGACCTGAGTTAATGTCTGGTAGGGAGGGAACGGAAGCTTTCTTCTTGGGAGAAGAGTATTTAATTGGATTTATGTTGGATTTATGCCAAATTTATGTTTTTAACTGTTTTATCAGTTGCATTAGGTTCCTTCACCAAAATTCAGCCTAGGAAGGAGAAATTGCTAGTTTATAACATCAAATAACTACATAAATACAACTGCTGATGAGATGACTTGGAATCAGGTAGTAATGCTGGCTGAAGTTGCCCAAAGTTGGGGAGGGGAGGAAATTTCCCAGTGTTTTCTTTGCAAGTGGCAGAAATGCATGACAGCCAGCAGCAAGTAGGCTTACATGGAAATATGTATTCTTGAACTCAGTATTGTTCTGAGCCATCTGGAGAGCAGTAGCTCTGAACTATTGCCCAGCTCTCACCATACTTACTGAGGATATTATAATGAACAGCTACAGCCGCCCTTGCCAGCCAAGTACAGAGTGAGTATTTTATTACACCTTCAGCGTGTGGGATAAGGCTGCTTTCCATTTGGCTCCTCCGGCCCTGTTCTGCTTACATGCTCCTGTAAATGATCTATTACATATTGGAGACTGCTGGGCAAAAGTTCAAATTAAATCATGCCATCTGACCACAATTACACCATTCTCAGGCAACCGAAGTGTATTTTTGTGAGCCTTTAAATAAACATTACATTGCACATGTAACCAAATATGTACGATAATTATTTTTGCAGAACGCACCCATTTAAATGCAAATACACCATATAAGATGGTATTTATTTCTCATCACATATAACTCGTGGAAAAGCTCGTAGATCACTGAAGCTCAAGCAATGTTTATTCTGTCTTTTTTTTTTTGTATTAACCAGTAGCTTATTTTAGTTAGTTTCTCTACTTACTGCTCTTTTAAAATGGGAATCTTGGCCTAGAGAGACTAGTCATTTTACTTGTTTTCTATCTTACGGCACAACATTCCCTATTTTAAAAGTTTGCTTTTAAGACTAACAGACAAGAAGGTTTCTGCAACCTGATTCACACAGATAAGTACAGAGGCCTTGTGCCTTTGTTTTGCACCACTAGACTCTCTTAGAAGTCACTTTAGATCAGGCTTGTATGACCCATGAGGTTAACGTTTAGAGTTCTTCCATGATCTTTACCATGGAGCTCATTTATACCGCTAAAAATTGCCTTTAAATTTCTCAATGAGCAGAAACAGCTTCTCTAATCTCTTATCTCGGGCTGTCTTCAGCTTTTCCAGCATGCCACCCATGGCAGGCAATAGCACTTGGCTGAAACACCCCCCTCTTTGCAGCTGTTCCTGCTTCTGGGAAAGGGTTAAGCAGGTTCTGCGGATTCACAGAGGTAGGTGACTCATTACCCCACCCGGATAGAGGGGAAGTGGCTGTCTAGAGGGAGAGGATTCATACAATGTGAAATCAGAAGGGAGCATTGTGAACTTCAGGTTTGACTGAAAGAGCCGGAAAGGCTCTATAGTTAAAATTCAAGATTATCAGCTGTACATCCAGGCGGGTTAAAGGCTGGCTGAGTGTCCGGGCTGTGCTGCTGGAGCGTGGGCAGAGCTGGGGTAGGAAGCCCAGCGGCAGGAGGCCCGAGGAGGAAGCCTGCACTGGAATTTGCTGCCGTGGTAAAGCTGTGTGGGCTGCCCCTGAAAGCAGTGGAGGAAAGGCAGCAGCTCAATTCCTTTTGCAAGTTTTTTGTACCATGAATCACAGTCCTGATGACTCTTGTGCAGTTTTTAAAGTGGTGTCCAGCAAAACACAGCCTTCTGTAAAGTACAGTTGGACATCTGAGAATATTTCCTTTAGTGTGTTTGGTTCTTTAGTTCAAAATATTTACATATATTAGATTTATTAACAAAAGCAGAAGGAAATGGATTATTCATTCAATATCCTTTTGCACCTTAATGTTTCCCAGTAGTGTATCAGGTGGTAATTTTGAATATAAATTCCTCCTTTCTTATCGATAAAATCCTGGCTGTTGTGGAAACCACAGATTTTTGCCCTTAGTCTTGATCTGTTTCAGTTTGGTAAATCTGTGCAGATAATCCTCTTGGAAAAAAAACCCTTCTATATTTACACTAAGGTTCTATCCTTTCTCTACTAGTAGTCAGTCTAACCTTATAAGCACCAATATATACTTAAATCCAAATAAAGTGTATGTATAACTGCATTACTGCCCTGTCAGTCACCAAACAGTTATGTTTAAAGTATTTGTAACAGGTTCATTTTTGTTCCCTTTTTTTTTTTTTTAGTGGCCAAATACAAGTTATCCTATTCATTAAATATGTCTGCTATAGTCCTTGAATCAACTTCCAAGCGAGCTGCACCTGTCCATTACAAAAAACAATGGTGCGATTTGATGCATTGTTCCTTGGTTTATGGACATCCTGTGGGTAGTTTGCCTAAAACTAGCTAGGTCAAGGCCACTGATTCTGTTGTTCCTGCCTCAGTGAGCCATTGGCTTGTGCTGACCTTCGATCTACCTCATTTGTTTTAATTTCTAATGAAATAAAGGCCACCTTCCAGGCTTTGACTGTTTACATAATTAATTTTATCAATAAAATAGAAAATGACTACTCCACCATACTTGTAGATGATGAATATTTGATGATAGCTATTCACTTCCTGTCACTCTGTCCCTCACCACATCCTGGGGAAAAAAAAATAGAGGAATCCAGCCATAGATCAAAAATGAAGGCTTAGTTTGGGAAAGGGTGTGAGAATTTCAGAACTGAGGTCAGCAGTGAAAAACACTAACAGGAAGAAGCCTAGAGATGCCTAAAACAATTCCTGTCAATCTCCAGAGTAATGAAAGGGATTAGAACAGCTAATACAGCATCTACACTTGTGGTTTTACCTTTCTTTTTGGTAGTTTTGAGGAATCCATATTGTCAAAATTTGGCTGATGGTTGTGATCTTCTATTGCTGCTTTGAAAAACTTTGTTTTCCCATGGAAGTAGGATTATTTTCTCTGAATCCTAAATGAACAAGCTCATAAGCAAGGTAATGAGCCTGTTGGCCTAGCTCTGTCGTGCAGCTGCAGAATCTTTCCTCTATGTTATAAATACAGATTAAATAAGGAAATTTTTATTTTTGCTTTGGGGGTTACACATCTTAGCTGTGTGCTGTGTTACCTGATGTGGCCCAAATTCTGCCATCAGACTTAAAAAAAAAATCCAAATATGTGGCTCCGTTAACTAAAAGTGACATAAGCCATAAATAACAAATGTACCTATAAAGAATGGATAAATGAGTCTAAATCATTCACAGGTGCAGCAAGTGCCTGCTGTATTTTCTTCATGCTCAGAATTATAAATACATATAGATAACATGAGGTTACTTCTGCAATCATGTTACTTATTGATATCGCAGTATAGTAACCCATTGCTCCCCCTCATTTCTGAGAGGACTTCTCTGTCCTTAGCTTTTCAAAAAAATCTCTTTTACCTGTCCTGTGGAACAATGAGGAAGAGTATGCGTAACTGGGACTTGGTCATTTTTTCAGACATTGAGTTACCTATTCTCATTTTGGATACTGGAAAAAGTTCTTAGTCAGATATCTGTTGAAAACACTAGGTAAAAATATTTCTATGTTGCTAAACATCCTGTGCCTTTTGAAGGAAGGAGGAGAGAGGACCTCATTATACTATCTCCTTTCCTGACCCTTTGTTCTTTGCAAGCTTGAATTGCCTGTGCTCTTTATCTTAACTTCTTGTGCAATCTTTCCTCCAGTTTATTCTGTGAAAATACCCAAGTTAAAGACAGTGGTTGACACTGACAAAAACACCAGAAAAGGCCTTTTGATCAGAACAGTCCCCCAGCTCTGAGCTGCCAGGAAATGATTTAGTGGAAAAAAAAAAAAAAAAAGTATTGCAAATAATATTCTGTAACAAAAGTTATATGTAGTTGTGAACTTCCAAACAACAGAAATTTTACTGAACAGTATAGGGCTCGAAGTATGGCTGGATAGTTGAACTAGGATTACTGTGTCTTCCCCTTTTGAGAGGGAGTTCCCGATATGAATTAGTGGAACTGAGTGAAAGGAGAAAGCAAACCAGACTGGGTTGTTGGATTATGTGCTGTGGTCTGCAAGAATAATATTGTCAAAATGTTTTGTCATAAATGTCAAGTGTCTTTAAGTTATTGGGTGTATTTACCCTGTCTGCTTTCTCCTCTTTGCCTTCTCTCTTGTGTTCTCCCCACTGTACGATTCTTGCCCCTGTATATTTAATGATTTAGCTATTGAATTGAAGCACCACTATAACTCTTACTTTACACAGGTAATTTTTCTGTGTGAACTAGGACTAGACTCAATTGTAATGTGTGCTGAAGGTTGCCCAACAGGCATTTGAAACTTTTTTTTTTTTTTTTTTGGAAGGCCTGAGAGAGAAACATTGCTTGTCTTATAAGCCACCACGGAATCTATCAGAATCATCGAGGCTTGCATTGGCACAACCGTGCTGGTGCCCAGCCATTACTGTGGGTATATTTCAGCAATTGAGAACTTAGCCTTAGTACTTACTTATTTTCTTCAGATACAATCATACTTGAATCTTGTCAAGAAGTGTGTTTGCTATTCCAGGTGTCATGGAGGTGTCATTTGAGGACAGGTGCTTGGGCAGGGATTTTGGTGCTTCTGTACCTGGCCTGAACAGAAGTGAAGTAGTAAATGAAACCAGGAAATGAAATAAAGGTAAAACCAAGGCAGAGTATCTGCTGTGCTCTAACTGAAGCCTAACAGAATTACAAGGTCACTTCTGCATCTACCATTGTTAATTCATTCAAGATTTAAAATTAAATCAGAATCTCTAGCAGGGTAAGATTTCTATGTGGGCATGATTAGCCACATTGCAAATGTCTTTATCATATTGTACTATGTGCGTGCTCATCTCTTTAGGTAAAAGCCTGGAGGCCTGGCATGAAACAGCACTAAAACCTACAGGGAAACTATGAGATTTGTCTACTTGTCAAGGGAAAAGTCCTTGAGACTGGTTTTTTTTTAACTTTTATTTTTAGCATACCTATTTAATAGTGTGTGGGATTATTTCTATGGGAGAACAGTGTGACATGGGGGGAGGAATGGCAAGAATTCCAAAAGCTCTCCCTGCCAGAGGCAGAAGAGAGCTCGGTGTTAGAACATAATCCTTAATTCTACCGTGCTCTTTTATTTTATAAACATCCAGTCTGTATCCCCACAAACTACTGCAATCTCTTCCTCCTGTCAGGCTGGTGCAGCCCAGTGTTTGCAGGCTGCAGCTTCACAGGGGCACCACCTTGTGGTCCTGGTAAAATTTGTGCAAAAAAGTGCCCATTTCTTAAATCAACTGTTGAAATTATACAATTATATTTATTATATTACGGGCTCTTACATCTGAAATCTACCAGCAATTCTCCTCCCATATAGATTTAATAAAAAAATAATTTAAAAAAACCTACCTGCTTCTACCTTATTGGAAGAAGAGCAAGAGTTGTAGTTTTTCTTAAGCTTATGGTTCACCTATAATAAATAGCCAAGACTTCTGATTGCTATAGGGATTTTTTTTTTTTCTTCAAGTGGTAGGTAACACCACTTGAAAACATGGCACAGTGAAATTGCCAGAAAAGCATAATTCATTATATTATCTAATATAACTTGAGAATGACAGGAAAATTAAGAAACCTTAATACCTTTTTTTAAAAGACGGTTCAAAACTTACACTATTTTGCCAAGGTTAAGGTCCTTAAAATAGAATTTAAGTCTTACTTTGCTTTAAAGCAATAGGTGGCACACTGCTGTTTATTGAATGATACCCAAATGGAGTTTGGATTAATAATTTTGATAATGTGCATTTTTATCAATATTGAAGCATTCTTAGTGCAAAGTGTTACCATGAAAAATTGTAATTGGAGGATCAGGAATGCCTTAGTACTGTAGTCAAGCACACATATAATTTTTATCACACCTTAGTTCATGATAGTTGATGCTGAGAGTTTAGCCTGGAGAAAAATCCTTCTCTATAGACATTCTTTGTGAAAAAGATACAAGTGCCAAAAATGATGTTCAAAGATGTAGCTACAATACATAGCAAATGCATTGAAAAATAGCTATTTATTATATATGCATTAAATATGAATAATACCTACCCGTATATTAAGTTCTGATTCAGTTCTTACTTTTCTAACACACACACACACACACACACACTGCTTACAAGAGTGAAAAATAGTTCTAGTCCAGTAATTTATGTACTTCAGGAGGTTGATGGAAGATTTTGCAATGCTGCGTTCTTTCAGGAAAGCTGTATGTCAGACCATTTAAAAAAAAAAAAAAAAAAATCAATCAAAGGTTGGTGTAACTGGAGATCACTTGTTCCAGAGCTGTGAAGCTGTCCAGGAAATCTTCCTCTTCGATTCCAAATTTAGTGTACTGGTGAATATAGGCTCTGTGTGTTGAAGTCACAGTAGGAAAATGGGTAAGACATTAGAAATCAGTGAAGAATCTGACACGTGAAATCAGATCACATAGTTATTGTAAAAACTTCAAATGAAGATTGATTTCCACCCAATAACCGTGCTGGTTAGTTTCTACTGTGCTCTCCTGAACTCATTTTGTAATTCATACTTATTAATCAGAGGGTGTAGGGGTAGGACAAGGGGTAACAGTTTTAAACTGCCAGAGGGCAGATTTAGATGAGATCTAAGGCAGAAATCCTTCCCTGTGGGGGGGGTGAGGCGCTGGCCCAGGGTGCCCAGAGCAGCTGTGGCTGCCCCCTCCCTGGAAGGGTTCAAGGCCAGGTTGGACGGGGCTGGGAGCCCCCTGGGCTGGGGGAAGGGGACCCTGCCTGGGGCAGGGGGTGGCACTGGGTGATCTTCAATGTCCCTCCCAACCCAAACTGCTCTATGATAATTCACGACTCCTTTCCAATAGGTTTTATAACTTTGTGTATTGCTTAAGGAAACAAAATTGCAGCTAACAAAATAGAGCCAACTGGGAAATGGAAGAAGTGATTGTTAAATGAGAAAAGTAATTTACAGATTTGAGATGCAAAACCTAAACCTGTGCGTGCAGGATAGCTTGCTTCTCCTCACTGGTGTTTTTGTAACAGGTGGTAAAACTAGGAGCACAGCTAGTGGCAGCAGTCTTGATTTTGCTTCTAATTGCAGAATTCCTGTGCTAGAAACTCATGTTTAGCAGACATCTGCTGTGACATGCAGTAACCTTGGCTTCATGATGATCAGAATAGAGACAATTATTTTCTAGATTTCTTGGTTCTAATGCAAAATCAAACTAATAGCATGGGAGCCTTAGTAAACACTCAAATCCCCTAAATGCTCCTGAACTGAGCCAGGAATGTTTTTCCCCAGACTGTGCAGCATGTCTATACACAATTTAGAAACTATATGATCAGTAAAAGAGTTTCTATGTGTTATTTTTAGAATGGTCACATTGGAATGCACTAAATTTGGGGAGTTTTAGTACTGAGAAAATAGTCAAACTGACAGCCCTCGAATATGTGGTCTCACTTACCCACAGAACATAAGCACTGTTCTGTGTTCCTCACCCTGCCTTCATGTTTCAAGCATAAAAATATTTCCACTAAAGTGTGGAAGCAGTCTTCATGCTTATTCACCATTACTTTACTTTCCTGAAAAAGCAAGCTGTATTTATAATGATTTTGCTACTACTGAAGACAGTGGCAGTTATTAATGAAGTATCAGCATAATTATTTTCACTTACTTGGAAGCAAACATGTTCCAAGCTTTTCCTACAACATTGTCAAGAGGTTTCAGCAGGAACTGGCTATTGCTGACCAAAGAAGCAGACTTTTCATACTTGTTAAATGCTCTTGGTGTTTTCCACACATTAAAAGCATCCTGAGGGTTTAGCCATGATGTATATAACGAGGGATCTCGGAAACTTCCTGTAGCAGAAATAAGACAGCCCTTTTGACAAATGTAAAGCTACAAGCTCCTACATCTAGATCTCAGTAGTCCTGTGTGCCCTAATCAATGTCTGACAGATCAATTCAGGCCTTGAAAAAAATCTGCAGAGCAGTCAGCCTGTTGAAAGTATAACCATTTAAAACAGATTCATTAGCTTATCTAGAAGCATACTCTTGTATTGGTACTTCATCTGCAAGCTATGCTCATCACTTCAGTAGCAACTAAATATATTTTCAGACAATGCAGCCAAGAATCCTGTTGTAAAAATGGACTTCAGTCTCCCCCTCATCCCCTGAAGTGCTTCAGGAAACACAGAAGTCTTGGCTGTAAATATAACAGCCCTAAGCAATTAGACAACGTGGCCTTGGACTTAGTATGTTTCTAGAGGGAATATTGACCTTTAGTAGTCAAATATGTGGCCTTGGGGTTTCTTCACTTTCATCAGATATAGCTGCAAAGAAAACAGCAAGATGTGAAACAAGAATCACTGAGGTGCTCTGTTTTTCCTTCTTACCTAAGTCTGTGCTGTGCACATCTTTCCCTCGCAGGATCACCAGGTTGGCAATGGAAGTATTGAAATGCAGGGGCTTGTTTGTGGAATGACTGGAGGGGATGGAGCAGCCTAGACGTGGTGGTCGTACCTGCCAATCAATACCTATGAGATTTTGGCAAAAAAAGATATAAAAACAAGTTAGTGTTTTATGAAATACAGATTCCGACTAGCTAAAGACTCAGGTGGTAACTAACACTGTGCCCCAAGCTGAGCATATTAAAGTTTGTAGTTTCTGCACATTAGTTTAGCAGCAATTACACAATTCTTAAAGAAAAACAGTGTCAATCCAGCAGTATTTGCCTGGTAGTCACTAGTCTTACCAGAGAAAATGGATACTTGTTTCTATACTTAACAATATGCCAGCCCATTCTTTGCATAACTGGAAGCTATACTGAATTCCCCATGTAAATGGTATGGGAGAGCTAGGCATGCTTTTTATTAGAAGGTATAAAAAGCGTAGCAGAACTAACTATCCGAGGAATGTTCCAAATGAATCATGTAAATTAAATGCACAGCCAAAAATTGTTGGTTTGTTTTGCGTATTTTCAACAGTTATAATTAACTGAGATGTCTGGGAGCAAAAAACAGGAGCAAGCCGGGAGCTGCTGTGGCAGCTGAGTGAATAGTTCAAGGAGCAGCTGGCTATGTAGAGGCAAATTCCTGCTGTCTTGAGGGCAGCAACTTGTTTCTGAACTGACTACAGCTAGTCGGTGAGCTCCACAAAACAATAAGCTTTATTTCATCTGTAAAAATAAACGCATAGAGAGTGATGGATGCTGAAGATGAGTGAATGCTTTTTACCTTCCTCCATTTTAGCATTAGCAATGAGCATCTGCCTTAAATGTTTGATGAGTCCAGGCCAACTGAATGTGCTATAAGCGAGGGAGTTTTCAGGCATCTGAGGTATGTTACGAAGACCCAACATCTTGAATTCGGGATGTGGAACTAACGTCTCCATTAACTCTCCTGAAAGAAGAAATTAACAGCTGCTCACGTTTGACAAAAATATTGCATAGGCTAGCTAAAATAGGAGAGGAGAGTGAGGAATTTTACGAAGATCTAGCAATTTAAGGTAAGAAACAAAGCAGGATATATTAAGTTTTAATTTGACGAATTTATGGACACACATCAGGCAAAGTAATTCAAACTTGCTAGGTACTACTGAGTTCTACGCATCATGTTAGCTCTTTTTAGACTTGTCTTGCTTTATAGTCTGGCTCAAAATCTCAGAGACCCTATGCACTGTCAGAAATTGACAGACAGATGTGGAAGTTTAATTTTACAACCAAAACTCTTGGCAATATGGGTAACTTTTCCTAATCCCTTAATGAAACAAATGTCAGCCACTGCTACCAAGTTGTATGCTAGCCCATCTTTTGCCTGAGCAAAACACAAAACTTGCATTTTGTTTCAGTTTGTATAAACTTCTAACCTAACGTGAAAAGTAAAACTCAGTCCAAAATTACCCTGCACAAATTTCCTCTGAAATGTAAATAGGTACAAGGGTGTCCGTAATCACTTGAAAAAGAAACAGGGTTCTTTTGGTACAAAATGAAACCAGAAGCTGGGGGATCTATTTTTGACTGCTACAAAATAGGAATTGAAATCCTAATTTAGTCTTTTACTTTACTTTTCCTATCTTAAAACTTGGGATGTATCCAAATACTTGAGTAAGGAGACTGAAGAACTTAAATTCACAACATGAAGTGATTACAGAAAGATGTGGGAGAATGCAGCATTAGACAGCTATATCATAGTTAGATACCTAATGGGTTTCTGCTATAGTGTAAGCCACCTTCTGCTGTGTAAGTGGGCTGGAAAACACTCCCCAGTTGATGTGCAATGACTTGATTTACATCCCTGAAGGAGATCTGTTTAATATTCATCAGCTGAGCGCAGATCTTGTGGATGACATCATTTTCATGAACAAGAAGGGCATCTGATGACTGGTACAGATGTGACAAAGTCAAAACAGAGTTGTAGTTTTGAACAATTACCTGAAAACAAACAAATAAAAAATACACACAAATTAGAGTCAAACAATTTAATCTCTTTCTAGTCTATAATCCTCTGGCTACTGTAATTTCCTCAGTTATGATTTAGAAAGTAATTCATTTTCTTTGCCAAAGTGCAGAATAAGGTAAGGAACTAGCAGAGATTTTTCATTGAAATAGAGCAAGACCTGTATAAATCATGTTATCCTTGCTTCATACAAAAAACATGCTAGAATAAAATCTGTCTAGGAACTGATTACAATGATGCGATTCTATCATAACAGGAGATTTCTAGTTAGCTAATAGAGCTTCTCAGGAAACTGCATTATACTTTGGCACTTATATTATCAAGGAGTTTTTTTATCTGTGAAACAACATGTACCAAGTATTAGGCAAACAATTCATTAGTTGTGTTACTTTCTGTCATGTTGAACTTTTTAAAAGTAAGAGGTACCTATTTTCTAGTTTATTTCAGTTGCAGATATTTCATGTCTAAAAGTAAACAGTGATTATAAGCTTGTAGAGTATATCTGGGAAATACGACATTCACCTCACCAGTGCCGTAGGGCCAGATAACATGGTTTAGTATAAATGAGGTAGGAAAAGCATCTCTTAAACACTGGGTCACAAATGCTCCCAAGCCAGACCCTGTACCACCAGCCATGCTCATTATTGTGAAAAATCCACCGAGTCGATCACATTTCTCTGCTTCTTTTTGCACCAGATTCATTATTACTTCTTTGTGTCTAGGCCCGTGAACAGAAAAACTGTTGAATAACAGAGAAAATAGCAAGACATGGCAGGTTATATCAAAATAAAAGCAGAAAGGTGAAGATATTCATAAAGCATAATTTTCTTCTTGTTATTTGTGTAACTTCACATTATGTCATACATTCTACCTGCAGTAAACAATCCTTAGCTGTAACATTTTGTAAAACAGCTGTTTATAAACTGTCCATAGTTTCCTATTCTTAAATCAAACATAGTCACTCAATTCTAAAATGTTACATTTTCACTGTAAATACCAACTTCCCCTTGCCAAAGTAGTTTAGAAATTTCACTGCTTTATATTTCACTGCTACTTTAACTTAAAAATAAATCTGGTTAATGCTACACACTCTACCTCACACAGCTGTGCTCCTAGAGAGTCTAGACAGCTCATTAGCCTCTACAGTTCCCTTAGTGAAGCTTGAAACAATTGTTCATACCCATTTGCCCAGTTGTTCCCAGACCCTTGCTTCTGACAGAAATGTGACCGATCGTCGTATTTCCAGTAGCCAGACCTGGCAGCCGTTGATAAGGTTTGGCTGATTACTTTCGGTTCCATGTCAACAAGCACAGCCCGAGCAACAGGTACTGGATAGGAAGAAAAATAATACTAAAAATAATGTGCCAATATTAGAACTTGTTTGTGTAAGAGGGATGGACTTGCACCACGGCCCAAACTGTATTCCTCCCACCCACACAGGCCAAACTATTGATAGGACAGTACAGGCAGGTACAGAAAGGAGGACTTGGCAAGGCTCTGGATTTCTGATGAACCATCTATTGCTGCAAAGACAAATCTGAACTCTAGAGACCATAGATATTTCAGGAAAGAAACCACTTAATGCATTTGATAACACGAAATTCAGATACTCTGGGCACTACTCCATGGTATGATCTATCTACAGCAGAAAATGCAGATGTTTGGAAGGACAGATTATGGATTCGTATATGCTCAGTTTCCAGCTGTGTTACTGGCAGACTTGCTCTGTGGTCTCAGACACTTTCCTGCAGTGATTGTGTTTCCATGGTTGTTAGTAATGTTGCGAAGGCAGAGGGTTGTGACAATTCTTCAAGACCAAAGGTAAAGCTCATTCTTCAACTGAAGGTAAAAGACTTTATTTCTGTACTCTTATCTGTATTAGGCTGGAAACCAGGCTGTCTGTGGGAAACACTTAAATGCCATACCTTCAGATTCTTCCTCACAGAAAAAACGTTCAGTGCAAGCATCATTGTAGGATTCATTCTCCTTCTTGGAACACAAGCCACGTGTGCCGTGGATGTCACCGCAGATAGTGTTAAACACGTCATGACCAATCTGATTACCACACTGACCAAGCTGGACTGTGACTATCGACATTCTTATTCACTTTGTATTTAAGCCTAAAAAAGAAAAGTATGCTTTTAGTAACTGTGAAAAAGAGAGGGGAGGAGAGATGTTCTGACAAATATATTTCTGATCAGTTTTGCAATTTTTTGAGAACCTCTAGTGAGAGGGAAAAGGTTATGCTACAACCACTGGCTATTTCTGGGGAAAAGCAGGCTGTCAGCACTTTCTCCTGAATGTCAGAAGAATGCAGATGGCAGTTTACAGGAAATCAATCTGTTTACTCTTGCTATACATCTGGAGGGAGCTGAAACCAAGCAAACAGCAAGCCAGGTCTTTGTTTTCTTACTTTTGCTTAGTAAAGCAGGATAGAAACAAATAATTATAACTCAAACAAAGTTATAGGATTAGGCTGTAAAAGCATAATAAGAAAGTACCATAAGCCTTTAGAAATGTTAAGCCTGTTGAAAAATCCAGCTGATTTCCAGTCTTGCACTGCTATGGGCCTGATGTCAAAACCTGCTGAGGTGACAAAGGGATTCCCTAGAGTATTTCCCTTGCTTCCACCACAGAGACCAAAGTTTCTGATTCAGTACTGCTATGTTTTGACGTTTCTTCCCCACTCAGCATTTTGCAGTAGCTCTGGTTTCTCACTTTTCTATTATCCTTTCACAGAAACAAGGTCAATTTTTTAAAACTCACTTCATTATTGTGGGCTGCTATTTTTCATTATCATCCCAGCTGTGCCACAGCACTTCTGTAACTGCGTTCTTTGGGTAACTGCCAGGGTCTATAACTTGATCCTGCTACATTTTGCAGGCAGGTGTGTGCTATTTTTGTTTCCTGTGCTTGATTTCAGTGCTGCTGCTGCCAGCCTGCACCTCACAGCCTAAGGCCAGCCTGTGCATTACTGCAAGACTGGGTTACTCCTCACCACAGCAAATAAACAGATATGAAAATTATTTTCAGAAAAGGCTCACGTCCAACTCACGCGTGTGATACTGACCCTCCCGTGGTTACTACCGGTGTGGTCTGCGCGTGCCCCTCGGAGCAGGCAGCTTGCGCCCTTCCCTCGGGACCTGAAGTCACCCGCCTGCGTGGAGAAGCCCACTCAGGTTTCGCCAGGACCTGGCCAACGGCCGCCCGCCCTCCGGGGCCGCCATGTTCCCGGGGCTGCCCCCCCGCCCCCTTCCAGAGCCTTTCCCCCCGCCGGCCCAGCCGCCCGCCCAGGCTGCCTGGCCCTGCCCGGGCACTACCGGCCGCCCTCACCCCCGTTCGCCGCCGGCCCCTCCTCAGGGCTGACCTCCACACCCCGCGCTGAGGCGACAAAAGCGCATGCGCAACCACCCGGCTTCGCACTGCCTCTTCCTCGCCGGTTCCGACCGAGACGCGCCTTCGAACAACCCGCTTCGCGCATGCTCAGAAGGGACTCCGGGCAAGTCGGGTACAAAGGTCACTCCTCCAAGCTTCACAAGGGTCAGTACGCATGCTCCTTCCCAGCGACTTCACCGCGCCCTTTACGCATGTTCTGTGCCAGGAGCAAGGCAGGCGGGCGCTCACCGCGCATGCTCATCCTCACACCCCCGCCCATCCGCTCCGCGGGGCCCACCTCACGCATGCTCAGTGCTGCCCCACCCGGTGCCGGCGGGGGTTGTGCGCCTGCGCGGCGCCCGGAGTCAGGGCGGGGGCGCAGGCGCGCTGGGGCCGGGCAGCCGGTGATGGCGGCCGTGGCGGAGTTGGGGGGTGCGGGCCCATGAGGCGGCCCAGGCCCCGCGCACCCAGCACAGCCAGGAAGGGGCGGCGGCGCCGCGGCAGCTCGCACCCACGCCATGGCGGGCGTCTTCGACATCGACCTGGACCAGCCTGAGGACGCGGGTTCGGACGAGGAGCTGGAGGAGGGGGTGAGAGGGGGGGGGAGGCGCGGCGCGGGGAGGGAGCGGGAGGCCGCCGCGGGGAGCGGCGCCGGGGGCTCGGCCTGAGGGAAGGGAGCGGGAGGCGGCCCCGCGGCGGGGGACGGGACGGGACACACACATCTTGCCGGCGGCCGGTGTGGCGAAGGCGGGCGGGGGCCGCGCTGCGGCGGGGCCGGGAGCCGGGCGAGGCGGAGCGCGGTGGCGGCCGCCGCCCTTGCCCCGCGCAGGTGAGGCGGAGGCGGCCGCGGCCGCGCCCTGGCCCGGCGAGAATCGGCCGCGCTGGCCCCGGCGGCTGCGGGCTCCGCGCCCGGCCCGGCCTCGGAGCGCCCGGGAGTCACCGGCGGCGGGAAGGAGGCGGCGTCGCGCCCTTGGCCGGGAGCAGGTTTGGGGCTTCTCCGGGCTGGCTGGCGGCGGCTGCGCCGAACTTGCGGGAGCTTGTTTCCCCTTGGAAGTTTTACGTTGGATTTCTTAGCACGAGTGCCGCAGCGGGTTTTTTTGTTTGTTTGGTTGGTTTTTTTTTCTCTTTTTTTTTTTTTTTTCTTTCTTTTTTTTTTTTTTTTTTTTTTTTTTCTTGTCACATGTTTTAACGTCAGTGCAGAGATGCTAATCTTTCTGGAACTGTGTGAAGTCGTTGCTCTAGCGCCAAAATTAAAAGCAAAGCTTTAAAATGCCACATTAGGCATCTGTATGGATCAGCGTGCATCTCCATCTCATGCTTTCCTGAACAGTTCACCTTGTAATCTGTAGTTTGTCATTTTGTAACGTTCATACAGATTCTGTTAAGGCTTTGGAGGAACTTTACTATGAAATTTCTGTTTATATTTTTCTAGTGCTACTGCTGTTTTTTTACATTGTTTTGTATATTAAACATTTGCTATCGCTTAAACTGCTACTGCATTTATTTTTTGCTATTTAAATACTAATGACATTCTTGGAGACTTTGAGATAACTAGATATTCTATATCACAGTTGGAATACTGACAATACCTATAAACTGTAGAGACATTGTTTGACGGCTGAAGGCTTGAATGCTTCTCAACTTGCAGGAAAAAGCACTGTCTGTCACCTCAAAAATCAATAAAGTACTTGGCTTAAAAAAATTGCTTGCATCACGCTGTTAATGTTGCCAAGAACAGGTTCTAAGGGGGGTGGCAAGAAAGTTGAATTTGTTCTCTTTCATGTTCAAATAATTCAGTCTCAGGGAACAATTATAAAAATCATTACTTATTGTGCATTTTAAAAAAAATTGCTGTGACTGAAAATTCTATGGCACAACTGGGCATGAACGCACATTGGCAACTTAATTTGGTTCTCAGGTACCTTTTGACAAACAGATAAGGGAGGCTGAGAATGGACTTGAAATTAAAACAGAACTGAAAAGCATGGAATGTAAGAGCAGGAAAGAATGGAAGCGGCAGGAACGTGAAAGGGAAAAGATGTTTCACTGAAAACTATCTTTGTAGATGTCATGCATGTCTTATGAGGATTGGAAAGACATTGCAGCCAGAGCAGTTGAGGTCGTTAAACTGGGAGTGTAGAGCCTGGACTGTCTTGTCTAATCTCTGTGGTGCTGGTCCCTGGTACCAGCTGGAAGAAGCCTAGCAGTAGCAAGAACAGATGAGTTGCAGTTTTGAACAGCCACGGCCATTCTGGAAAATCTGAAGAATTGTTTAAATTGAGAGTTTACTCATAAGCCATATGGTTGTTTGCACTAGTTATTATGGTGAATAAAACAGCTTTAATTTTTGTGTTTGTAATAAATGTAACAATGTGTATGGACTGAAGGACTGCTAGACTTCCAGCCAGAGCAGCATTACACTGCTTGGTTTTGTGAAATGAGAAGAAATCCTGAAAATATCAGAATGCTATCTAAAGTGAATTTTGTTCAGGTTAATACTGAGAATGAAAACCATAGTTCACAGGGGCAAGAAAAGCATGTGTAAACTTTGCCAGAACCATTGGGTTACCCAATGGTAACTTGAGAAGTTGCTCTAGGAACGTAATGCGTGTTTATTTTCCATGTTTGTTGAATTTTTTTAAAATTCGTTTGTTGGCATCTAACAGTAGGGTCAAGGGCAGCTTTAGTGGGTTTTATTGTGAAACAGATGTCAATAAACTGGATTTCTCTTAATAAATGTTATCAAGAGGACATGAGCTAGCAACTCTCTGATCTGGAAACAAACTTGAACTTTTGGACTCCGTAATTGCATGTGGTGCTAGTAGGTGGAACTAGGAGTTAAATTCCCCTCTAGATCACCCACCAAAATAAACCAGCCTCTGCAAACTTTAATGTTTAAATGGTTTGGAAGCTATTGAAAGTTTCTAATTTTCTTTGGTTAGTGTTTTCACTTACATAATATTTTAAAATGCACGCCTTGGCTTGGTCTGCTTTCTGCAGATCTCAGTGTTTTTTCTTTTCCTTCTGGTTCTCTGAATTTTACATGTCACTCAGTATTTCAGTATTCAGTCTGTAGATTCTAGGCTGTTTCTCACTAACTTGCAGTTGTTACTTTATGTACATATTTTTAAAAATTAAAATGTTAAGGTATAGTCTGAAGCTCATTAGAAGCTTGCCCATTAAATTATACCTGTATTCATTCCAGCTGTCTGCTTGGTTTGCACTTCTTTTGCCATGCAGAGCCACAATTATAGGGAAGTAGTATCTTGCATAAGGGATCAAGCTGAAAATTCTTTGAAGGAAATATGTCTTCAGAATTGATCTACATTCTTTAATGGTGACTAGTTCTGATGGTGAAGTGCTTGAACTTTCTGTAGTAGTATTTGCATGCATTCCTCTATCTGAAAGATTATTGCTCAGAAGAGGTATTTAACATCAGAGTATATCTTAATTATTTTATTACTATTGGGATTTGACTATTAGAACTTCTCAGTAGATTATTTGTTTCTAGCACACAATTCATCTTTTCACATAATCTTTACTATGGTTCTAATTTGCATAGTATAATAGTTACACAGTACATTTGCATGGGATTTTAAAATTTGTATGTGAGAGCAACTGTAAAGAAAAGTGCAGTACCTTAACATTTTTTGAATTCATCTGGGGGTGTGTGAAATTGTTACCCCTAATATTTAAGCAGTTGAGTAACCATGCAGTCAGGTAAAACAGTGGTTCACTGTGTCACTCTTTCAGATATGTGGAATTATCGCAAATCTTGCTTAGAATTTTATAGATTTCTTCTGTTGATAATTATTCCTGACTTAGAGTTGTTTAATTATATAATATAAATTACATATAGAATTGTTTTATATATATATACACAATTTAAGAAGCTGTAAAGCACATCAGTGCATTTATTTTTAAAGCTTCTTTTTTTCTTTTGTTATAATTAATCTTCCTTCTACCCCTCCCATCCCCAGGGTCAATTAAGTGAGAGCATGGACCATGGAGGAGTTGGCCAATATGACCTGTAAGTTGCTGCTAGAAAATGTTCTGTATCATTCATGCCAACTACATATAACTTCTAATTTTGTTACATTGTTAAGTTAAATAGAAAATTCTGTCATTCTTGTTTAATTTTGAGTTGTTTCTAGTCGTTTCACTATTTCTTCACATTAAAATTTGTGAATTGTATCTTGAAGTATAATAATAATAAAAAAAATTTCTGGCAAAACTTTCTGTTTGTCTTTTAATCCTTGTTTCTCCTAACATACCTCTTGTACTTGAATAATATGAGCATAATGCACTGTCTGCAGAACATTGTATGTCCTGTTCAGTTCCTAAAGGTTCCAGTTGCAGGTTTGCGTAGGAGTTTGAAGCAGATGAGATTTCAGAAGTTCTGATTTGACATTCAGGAGTCAGCTACCTTTAGCGTTACTTCATTTATAGATTCCAGATTATTTCAGCATACCATGTTCTGGGAAGAAAGCAGTGATAGTTAAAACAGTTCAGTTACATTTACATTAGCAGGATAAATGTTAGTCTTTTGCAGAATTGTAGCATTATTTAGAAGCATCATTAAGTTATGGATCAGTCTTTTGTGACATATTCAGAATAGTGAGTGTGTTTTTGTTACAGCTTTTTCTGCAAGATATTTGTGTTCTAGAATTCTTACCATGACTGTCGGTGCTGCTGAATGTGATCTGAAACTTAAACATGCCTTATAGCCTTGCCTTCCCTTGAGGTCATATAAGAATATCCAAGTCAGCTTAAGGCTTTGGTCTTTTAAACTTAATTCTGGTGTAATACAGAGATTTATTACGCATTAAAATGAAGGAATCTGAAGGGAATCTTGATATTATAAATCCCCCAAATTTGCAGGTAATCTTTTCTGTGCAAGTTGCAACGTACTGCTTTGCACACACCTAAACAAAATTTCCGATGCTGAGAATTCTCTAAATCTCCAAAGCAGTCATTCAGTTATGTCAGATTTACTTCCTGAAAAGCATACAGTATTTTGCTTGCTTACTTTCATTTGATGATATTTGAGTATCAGGCAGTC